GTGTGTGTCACTCACTTCTCTGAATGGAAGCCACTCAGATCAAAAGGAGAACACAGCAGACAGGCTGACTGCATAAAGATTGACTTTGATTATGAGAAACACACACACACACACACACACACACACACACACACAAAATAATTTATCATACTCAGTAGTTTTCTAAAATAAACGATATTTCTTCACAGGATAAAATCAACTACTTATGTACAAATTAATGTGAATAATCAGAACTTTATGAGTTAAAACATTAACAGGAATCACTTACGCGTCCGCAATGATTAGTGAAAATATGACAACTCAGAAACAGTGAACAGTAAACTTTAGGTTTAGATCTTGATAAACCAGATGTTTACAGGCACATGGATTATGGCAAGGTTTTAAGCTTAAGAACAGTCAAGAAAAGGAGGATTAGTTTTAAGATTTAAAGGAGACCAATTATGGGTCCTAGAAATGTTTATGGTAGGTCTGTGGGCTATCCAGACCACGTTCATTCAATTTAATGCACAAAATAATTCTCAGATAATAAAATTTCCCATTTTCTAGCTCTGCCTGCTCTGACTTCCATTCAGAAGAGCTGTTTATGTTAATGAGCTCTGTTGGTAACGCCCTCCAAAAATCTGTTGACATTAACTCCGCCCTCCACAGCCAGCGTTTACGTTAGCATGGCTAATAATAGCAGAAGTTCCGTTGTACAACCATATGAGACCCAGAGGCAGAGTCGTGGTCCCAGCTTTTTTTTTTTTCCTCTCCTCTGCTCTGCGGTCACTCTGCATGCTGTTACCAGAGCAGGGAGCAGCAGCGGTCAAAATACCTCAGAAACTCAAACAAATAGGCTTTAACAAGACTTTAATAAGCTAAACAATAGAGGTACATGAGAAAATGTGCTCTTAATGAACGAAAATAAATAAATAATTAAATTGTGTCCGTTCTGGTCTCAAACCATAGTCTCCCGCTCTCTGGTCCAACACTCTACCCATTGCCCTATTGGAGGCTTATTGTCAAATAAGCTGCGCATTGCACAATAACAACACCGCGACAGCTTTTTATATTGAAGAGGTGGAGTCTCACCCAGGGGTTGCTAGGTAAGGGGCTGAACGCAGGTTCAGGTGGGTTGTCGTACGGCTTGTGACATCACAAAATAACGGAAGTATAAAACTTGTCGTTAATATACATTAAAAATACATTTACTTACAGTAAATATGCCCCTGGGTGCATTTTTTTTGGTCCTAGGACTGTTTTTTAAGAAGTACATACCCAAAGTTGAGTAAAAAAAACCTTTAAAAAGTGAATTTTGCATAATAGGTCCCCTTTAAGAATTATCAATTATCTTATCAAAGTGTGGAAACCAGAACGAGCACCCTGCGTCTTCACCACCTCGTCGGCCGGACCTCCGAACATTTTACAAAACTTCAGCTTTACCTGGTGATGTTTTCGACCGTCAGGTCAAGCATGTGGGCAGGATTCACTCGGTTTGTTAAGGATAGCCAGGTCAGGACCCTTACAACCAGTAAAAACTCCCACGTTTTTATTTACCATGTCTCAGAAGATCTGCGTTTGTCCGGTGGAGAGAGACAAGATTCGCCCAGGTTTTCTTTCAAAAATAAAAGCTTCTTATCAGAAGTTTAAAAATAACGGAGCTTCAAACCTGATTAATTTCAGATCAAGACTGAAGGTGTCTTGACCCTAGACAAGAGATTTGCTCGTTGGTTCATGAGCACATCTCATTGTCAAAATGCTGAATTCTCCTGTTAAAGGAAAACAGCTCAGAGACGAAAACTGATGTCCTTTCGTCTCCTCTTTTCTCACTTCCTGCTGTCGAGGCTCAGTCTGTTAGATTCTAAAGAGGGAGAAAGATAGGGACTGTGACCTCAACTCATGTTAGACAGGAGGAAGGAATGAAATATCTAGACTAGAAGTCCCTGCCATGGCAGGATAACAACTTTGCACCTGTTTCTGAAAAACAAGTTTAACTTTGACGGGCTCACACTGAATGAAAAATGAATCAAAGTTCAATGGAACATAAGAGAATCATTTAACTGAAATAAACCTTAAAATAATGGTCTATGATTCAAACACTAATATTTTATTTAGGTTTATTTCACAATAAAACACAGTGAAGTCATAATCACAACGATCAACGTAGTTAAACTGAAGAATAAATTAGAAAAACACTTAATCACGTTTACTGCAAAAATCATAGTTAATTAAACAAATTTTTGTGTAAGACAAATAAAGACATATTAAAACAATTTTCTTTTTGTGTTTTCTTTTTCTTACTTATAATGTAAAAGATTAATTGTCATTCTTTTCATTACGTAACTTTTGATTTATAAAATGATAATAACTTGTAGTTAAAAAGAAAGTATAAATCAAAATATAGAAAGAACTACATTATTGTTTTGTTTATTAAAGAAAATAAAATGTCTCTTATGAGAAAGGTCTTTTTAAACCAGAGTCAAAGACAAGTGGAAATGTTTATTTCCCCTTTGGGGACCCTTACAGGTCCTTTGTGGTGGAATCAATCTACTTCTGCATCTCATCAGTAAGTCATGGAGTTAGTCATCTAAAATAATTGGAAGTTTGAGCAGCCTCATCCTCTGAGAGTTTAGATTCACCTAGATTTTACTACTGACCTTTCAGATTATTTTCTTCAGCCTCTCAGCCTCCACCACACTCAGACTCTAACACAGGCATAGCTACTCACTGAACAATCTATAATGCCTCCATCCTCTAAAGGTACCTGTGTCCTGCTTTAAGAGCTCAACTAGGTTGAAGGACAAATCTCATGTGACAATCTAGTGTGAGGTATAACTACTGTATGTGTAACTGTATGTATTAACATTTTGTTAAATGTAGTTGGATACAGTCTTTTTCTGTCCATCATGGTGGAATAAACAGTCTTGATGGCATCACTGAAATGTCTCTATAGGTTCTAATAGAAATATAGCTGTCACAGACTCAGAAACAATGACGTACAGAAGGTCATTCATGGAAAGAACCTTATGCTTGAATGATTTAACTATATCATCAACATCAACCTTTTCACATTACTCTCAGGACTGAAGACAACCTTACACTGCAGCTGTGTGACATGTCATATTTAATTGGCATCAGTTAAAATAACCACTTCAGAGCCAGTATGACTCCTGAGAAATTCCTCTTACCTTCTTTCCTTGCCTCCTCCGCTCCTCTGCTTATATCTCCAGTGGGAGGAATGAAACTTAATGTGAGCAACTGTGTGTGTGTGTCTGTGTGCAAATTCAGAAAAGGGAAAAACGAAGAGAACTGTTGAAGGAATGTTGAA